TTTATTTCTATTTCATTTTATCTGCATCATAAGAAACAAAGTTTCGTGTCTCTTCCCAAAGCCAATATACTCTTTTTACGAAAATATATTGAGCCAGCATACAAAATGCCAAAAAAAAAAAAAAGAATGTGAAAAAATTTGGAATTGCACTCGACGTTGTCTGTGCCAAAATGACAAATTACAGGGTGTTAACTTGGCGCTAATTTCTTTCGGCAATTTGCATTTGCATATATTGCAGATAGCACACCCACACACACACACACCCATACACTCATACATCCATTTATATTGGGTTTCGCCTCTCTGTCTCTGTGACATATCTCAGCTGCTGCACTTACCTCTGGCCATCGACCGCGAACTGTTCGTTCTGCAGATATAATTTGATGTACGGCTGTCGCGTGTGCAATTTGTAACGGCAGTTGAGGGCGCGCGGATATAGGCCCGGATAGGCGGGCGACTGGACGTAGCAGGTCTGCAGTCGGCAATCGCGATACTCTCGCTCGCAGTACGAACTGTGAATTGGAGAAGAATTGTAATTAAATTCAATTAGTTGCTGTAGATATCTGAAGCCAGTTCTCTCTCCCTCTCTCTCTCACTCTCTCTCACTCCGTGTCGCCCCAAATAAATGTCGCCAAGTCTCAAATTTCCCGTCAGTTTCTCTCCTGGGCACAAATCCAACAAATTAATCGCTGGAATTGCCCGTCAGGCCGAATCGAGTCCAGCCACGCCCACTCCTAGCCCAGGCAGCGTGCAGTGAAACAACAAAAGCAGAAAATTGTGCTCAGTGATTTGGAAATTCTTGAGCTTTTGCCTGGGACTGCGAGAGAGAGACCTTGTAAAGTTGTTGTTGCTCTTGTTGTTGTTTGAATTACAAGAACAACTGTTCGAGAGTCTAAGAAGGAGCCGTGCGTATAATTTTCAATTTGTTCAAGCCAAACAAAGCGCATGCTAGCCAGGGTTGTCAGGGTTGTCTGGGTGGTCGGGGTGATCGGGGCGGTCGGCGGGCGGACTGCATAAATATGATTACCATTTACCATTTTATTTGCACTCTAAATTTCGATTCAATTTTTTTTTCTTTTGCTCTTCTAGGAAATTTGCCTTTCATTTGGGTTTGCTTTTGACTTCCGTTGAATATTAATACCCTAGATTCAATAGGGGTTTGGGGTGGGGTATGCGATATGCATGATATAGCTAGTTGATATGAAGAACTAAAATGATATTGAGTGTATAAATGGGAATCTTGTTCTTGGAAGTCTATATATATACGATATTATATGATATATTACTATATACATATATACGATATAGAGCTAAAAATAAATTTGTTGTATGTATGGAAAAATAATTAACCCTGCTCTGCTTCACTTTTGAAGATCTTTTAAGATAGTTTCCTAACTTTTGCTCCTCCTTAAGTACAGATTCTATATTCAGTATATATATGGTATATATGATATACAAAATTACTAAATCACTAAAAAATCAAGGTATAATAAATTATACCTTGCTCTACTTCACTTTACATAGATTTCTTTAGGTACTTCTCTAACTTTTGCTCCTTTTTAAATAAAGAGCTTATGTTAAGAATAGTGGAGATACATTTAATATACAAAATTACTATAAAGATCTTATCTCAATAAAATATCAATTCTGCCATATATAAAGATAAAGAACTAAGTTCTACTAAGCTTCACTTTTCAAGTTCTCTTTCAGTACTTCCCCAACTTTTGCTCGCCTTTAAGTACAGGGTATTTATAAGTCTTGCCCTCTCCACCTCGTTCATTCAGGTCTTGCTCTGCGGCTTTGTATTGGTTTGCTCTCGTTTCAGTGTCGATGTCAATGTGCGTGACCCCAAATTAGCATAAAAATCATATTGGCCATGTGGACGCTTGGGAATTTGCCTGCTTCGCATTGCCTTGGGTATGGCAAAAATCTGATGACTGCAGACAGACAAATTAAGGCAGCCCAAGAGGGCTGTGATTGGGATTGCTAGCTGAAGGCTTACTAGCAGTAGAATCAGCTCTACTTTAAAGCTAAACACTCTAAAATTCTCTCTGCTTGACTTTTTATTAATTTCGCGGCAGCTCAGCTGGCTGTGAAAAGAGGCTATTAGAGATCCAGAAGTAATGTTCCAAAACTTGCAACTTATTTTATTAAGATAAAAGTTAGATAGAAAGCAAGCAGGAGCAGCAGGAGGAGCAGGAGCAGAACAGCGGGCAAATCAAATGAAATTTAATGTCTGCAAAGTTTTTTGGGTCTAACTAAATGCTCGTCTTTTTCTTATATTATTATTTTTTTGTGTCTTTTCTTTCTCTGTCTCCATGTCTCTCTCTCTCTCTCTCTCTCTCTCTCAACATTTTGCGCGAGTTTATGTTGCCGCAGTGCCTCGTGGCAGTCAGCCCCTGCTCACGCTCCGGCTGGCAAATTGTAATTCAATTTTATGCGACCTTCTGTTACAGCATTGCCAGCCAGCATTGCGCCCCATCTACAGCTCCAGCTCCACGCCCACAGTCGTTGTTCGCATATGATTATGGAATGTTCGGCTTCAGTTCCAGTTCGAGCGAATTGTCGGCGACATTGTTGGGTCTGCTGTGAGCCGGCTCGAAAAACCACTCAAGTTGCGTGCAACATAATAAAATTAAATTAACGCATCGCTGGCTACAAAGTAGTAACTGTCAGTTGTCAGCCACGCCCCCTCACGGCCCCCTGGCACATAAAAATGGCACAAAGGCGCTAAACATTATCGATAAGCTCGCAGCACAGCGGGCAGTCCACTCAGCCGTTCGCCCTCTTCATCTCCCACTCCCCCCTCTCTCGTTACGTATACGTACCCTTGCACCACTTCGCCGCGTCGATTTGGATATAATTCCGGATGTTGGCCATAGCGTAAATAGACTTCGGTTTGTTGTTCAGCGCGTGAATCGAATGTGAAGTAGGTCTGCAAATAGAAAAGAGAGAGAGATAGAGATAGAGAGATTGTGTGAGTGAGTGGGAGAGAGCAAGTGAGAGTGAGTTGAAATTCATGTATTGTTAGCGCGCTGTTGTCTTTCGCTCTGGCTACGCAAATCACGTATACGCACTGTTGCCCCAGTCAAGCTGCTAAGCTGCATGCCATTAGTAGTCTGCCCCCCCTCCGCCCCTCTCACGCTCACAGATGAATTTTCGTCGATTTTTGTCCCAACTACGGCCAATCTAACCCGAGCAGTCTCCAGCGGAACCGATTGTCCGGCCAGGTGACATGCGGACATGAAGGCGTTTCCACTGTTTGCTCACGCTGTGTTGCCGTTCAACTGTTGTTGTTCGTCTAACTGTGCCCGGCTCGCTCACACAGTGGCTCAGTCGTCGCTCTAGAAGCCCCATTTAGTCGTGCACCTCATCAGCGCTAATGACCTGCACTGCAGCTGCCGTTCCTCCGCCCACCCAGTGGCAAATGGCAGTCAAACGAAGGTGCCTGACAGCAAATGCAGCGTATCTCACTTCAGTTTTGGTCGAAATTGAGAAGCAGAGAGAAGGGCTTGTTTTAAGGCTTTGCAATGGAAGAGGAATCATTATCAAGCTAGACTGGAGTTAGTTAACTTGGACTTTCTTGATGAGAGTCAAGTGAATTCGAGGAAAATGCTAGAAATATTTACTAAAATCATGTTTTTAAATTTTAAATTCTTTTCATACTATTTTATACACAAATAAATATATTTTTACTATGAGATAGACTCAAAATCAAATATATAATTATATGTTGTGTTGTAAACAAATGGTAGCACTTAAAAAAACCCAGGCTAAAATAAATAAAACTAATTTTATGTCTTGCTCACTAAAATCATAAAAATAAATAAAATGCTAAATGAAAATAAAAGTTTATTTACATAAAATAATAAAAATTCACAACTCTTGAAGTACATTTACAAATAGAACACAAAATATCAATAGAAACGAATAATAAA